CCTGCCCACAGCCCGCTGGGTGCCTGGGTGTCTGTGCTGAGGCCCCACCCACAGCCTGCCCTCTTTCCTCCCTCTGGCCGCTGCATGGCTCCAGTTCTTCACCTGTCTGGTCATCCTGTTTGCCTGTGAGGTGGCCGCTGGCATCTGGGGCTTTGTCAACAAAGACCAGGTGAGGTTGGGTGCGTGGGGGCAGGGTGGGGTGGGTGGGAGGGGCACCCTACTCTCCTGTCGCGGGTGGGGGGTACTCTTTGGGCTCCTCCTGGGACCCACTTGGTAGGAGAGTCTCCGGGGGCTATATGGAGGAGGCAGCACTGGGGCTGAGCACAAGGCCAGCCTCCCTTGTGTGTCCCTGTGTCCCAGTGCCCCCGGGGCAACTGAGAGTGTAGAGGTCTGGCCTGGAAGCCATCCTGCCCTGGGGGAGCCTGGGAAAGGTGCATGGGGCCGGGGCAAGGTGGGGGAGGTCCCGACTGCGAGTGACCGCAGCCCTCCCCCAGATCGCCAAGGACGTGAAGCAGTTCTACGACCAGGCCCTGCAACAGGCCGTGGTGGACGACGACGCCAACAACGCCAAGGCCGTGGTGAAGACCTTCCACGAGACGGTGCGGCCTGGGGCGGGGGCGGGGGCGGGGCAGGAAGCAGGGGGCAGGAACCCTGGTGGGCTGTGTCTCATCCTGGACCACCCCTGCATCTGCCCAGACCTCAGGAGCAGGAGGTGCCCTAGGGACCTCTAGGACCCTTGGGCTCAGCTGGTCCTCGGGTGAGAACCTAGTGGGCCAGGGTGGCCCAGGGCACGGGATCTCTGAGCAGTGCAGCTCAGCGGGAAGAAGGCTGGCCCTGGTTGCATCCACAGTGGGGGGCACCACGTACCCCCGGCCGCCTCCCTGCGGTTCTCCTAGAGCCGCCGTCCCCCGGGCCTGCCCAGGGCTGACCTCATACCCCATTCTCTGCAGCTCAACTGCTGCGGCTCCAGCACGCTCTCCGCCCTGACCACCTCAGTGCTCAAGAACAACCTGTGTCCCTCGGGCAGCAATATCATTACCAACCTCTTCAAGGTGTGCAAGGCGGGGGGGCCTGTGGGGGCCGGCAGGGGCGGGCCTGATCCCCCGAATCTCCCAGCCCCTGGGTGCAGTCTTGGGGTGGGCAGGCCACACGGCCACCCCACCAGCCCTGGCAGGGGAGCGACCACACCGGGTGATGTGGCCCCCTCAGGGCTGCTCTGCCAGGAGGGTCGGGGTGGGACCACCTCTGGCCCGCAAGGAAAGCAGGCACCCGGGGCTTTGCATGCCAGATGGAGTGGAGGCTTTTGGGGGTGGAAGCTCACTGGTACCCACAGCCCCACGTGTGCACTCGTGGGTGTGGGTGCTCCTGACAGCCCGTCCCTGGGGTAGTGAGTGCCCTGTGGAAGTTTCCTGCCGAGGCCCCAGTGGAAGCTATCAGTGGGTGCACATCAGTGACGCTTTAGGGCACTAGTGGTACCGATTACTGTGACGGCAGTGGAAAAGGGCACAGTGTGTCCTGGGCATTTCACGTTTATGTTAAAATGGGTGGAGATAAAAAGCTGGCAGAGGCCCCGTTCCGAGGTGGATGGGGGTGGGCGGGGGGGGGGGGGCTGTTCTTGGGATTCCCGTCCACACTTTCTGTGATGACCACGGACTGCTGTGTGACAAGGGGGAGCTGAGGCCGGGGCCCTGACTGCTCGTGCCTGACCACCCCCACAGGAGGACTGCCACCAGAAGATCGATGAGCTCTTCTCCGGGAAGCTGTACCTCATTGGCATCGCGGCCATTGTGGTCGCCGTGATCATGGTGAGCGGGCGGGCGGGAGGGCCTGTTCTCCGGGCTGCCCCTCCTTCGGGCCCGTGCTGACCACGCCACCGCCGCCGCCCTCCTGCAGATCTTCGAGATGATCCTGAGCATGGTGCTGTGCTGTGGCATCCGGAACAGCTCCGTGTACTGAGGTCCCGTCGCTCCGGCCGCAGGGACCCCTGCCGCGCCCCCCACCCCCACGAGCGACCCGGACGCTTCGAGGGGGCCGTCACCGCCTGTGTATATAACGTTTCCGGTATTACTCTGCTACACGTAGCCTTTTTATTTTCGAGGTTTTTTGTCCTGAATTCTCCTGTTACCTTTTCAGGGCTGACGTCACATGTAGGTGGCGTGTGTGAGTGGAGACGGGCCTGGGCCTTTGGGACTGCAAGGCAGGGGTCCTTCTGCCCCTGGGGTCCCGGGAAGCTCTGCCTGCTCAGCCGGGCCTCTCCTGGGAGCCACTCGCGCAGAGACTCAGCTTGGCCAACTTGGGGGGCTGTGTCTGCCCAGCCCGCCCATCCTGTGGGCTGCACAGCTCAAGTCTTTTTAATCCTTGATCCCTCTGCCCCAGTCGAGCGCCGAGTCTGTGGGCACTCCCTCTGCCTTCACGCACCTGCCCTTTCTAACACGTCACCTTCAACTGTGATCACGACATCCTGAATCCATCATTTAATAAAGAAGGAACGTCAGGCATGCTACCAGGCTGTTCAGTCCTTCAGTGCCAGTGGCGTCTGAAACCTACGGGGTGGCCAGAGGGCAGGGGAGTCCGGCAAGGGTGGGCTTCGGCGCCGTAGACTGTGTCAGGTCCATGGCAAGAGGGGTGGGTTGGGATCCCTGGTGTCCACAAAAGAGAAGTCACTCTGTAAAATTTGGGAAATTTATTTCTGAGCCAAATATGAACACCAAAGGCCTGTGACACAGCCCCAGGAGGTCCTGAGAACCTGGCCCAAGGTGGTCAGGCTGCACCTTGCTTGTATACATTTTAGGGATATAAGACATTGATCGGTGCATCTGAGATGTACATTGGTTTAGCCAGAAAGGTGGGGTAACTTGCTTGAAAGGGAGGGACTTTCAGGTCACAGGTGGATTAAAAGATGTTCCAGTTGATTGGCAATTGGCTGAGTCTATCTAAAGTCCTGGAATCAATAGAGTGGACTCTGGATTAGTCCATTATCTAATGGGTTAGAGGAAAAGTTGTGAAGCCCAAGATTCTTAATATGCAGATGAAGCCTCCAGATTGTAAATGTTTCATATCAGACTTAAAAAGGTGCCAGAATCTTAGTTAATTCTCTCCTGGGTCAGCAAATAGACCTAGAGAGGGAGGGGGATTCTGTATAGAATTTAATTTTCCCCACAAGACACAGCTTTGTGGGACCGTTTCAAAACACGTCAAAGAAATAGACTTTGGGGTAAAATACTTCGATTTCTTTCAGGGTATGCTGTCACGTTGGCATCTTATTGCTACAGAGGCTTTTTTTGTGAGTATTAAGGTCTCTGTTTTATTTTTATTTTAGAGGGAGTTTCGCTGTTGTCGCCCAGGCTAGAGTGCAATGGCATAATCTTGGCTCACTGCAACCTCTGCCTCCCAAGTTCAAGCAATTCTCCTGCCTCAGCCTCCCAAGTAGCTGGGACCACAGGCTTGCACCACCATACCCAGCTAATTTTGTATTTTTAGTAGAGACAGGGTTTTGCCATGTTGGCCAGGCTAGTCTCAAACTCCTGACCTCAGGTGATCCACCCACCTCGGCCTCCCAAAGTGCTGGGATTACAGGCGTGAGCTACTGCGCCTGGCCTAAGGTCTCTGTGTTTTAATGTGAATGCTGGTCAGCTGTGCCTAAACTCTCACGGGAAGAGAGTGTAATGAGGCACCAATGGTCATCATGGCCTAAACTAGCTTTTCAGGTTTACTTTAGAATGCGTTTGGCTAAGAGGTGCCCATCCCATTGGCTGGGGTTGCTTAGAACTTTGCTTTTGAGTTTAAACCAGGGAGCAACTTCAGGTAGCAAGGGCCCTTTTGGGGGCTCTGTGTTGCCTGCAGCCACTTCCACCTTGCCCCTTGGGCACACAAGGGGCACAGTGGCAGCGGGTGGGCAGGACGGGTCAGGCAGCCAGAGTGCAGTAGGAGATGGGCTCGGGGCAGGGGTTGGGTGAGCTGCAGAACAACTCTTCCTCCTGAGGGATGGTAAAGGATGGACATACTGCCCCCTCCCGAGCATTTGAGGGTCTCTGCGCTGCTCATCTAGTGCCTGTAAGTGTTCCTTTGAGGAGCTGGTGGTTCAGGGCCTGAGCCACATCTCAGAGGTGCTGGGGGGGAAGAAAGACCTCAGCCTCCTCGGGAGCCCACTCAGCCCACCAGTGAGCAGTGGGTGGGTGGACAGGCCCTGGGGCTAAGCATCCCCTGCACTCCCCCGACCCTTTCCCTGTCTGAGCTCCTCCAGCCAATGGGCTTGGTCTAGGCTCTCCCTATCTTCCCTTACACCGTGGGGTGGTGCTTGCTGTGGGTCCAGCTGCTTTTCCCTAGTTGGGGAGAGGAAGGTGCTGGCACATTTAACTGACCCCTAGGGGAAAGGAGTGACTGGGAATTTATATCTAGGGCTCCCAGCAGCCTCTTTGCAGGCCAATTTGTAAACTGTCCCCAGCCCTGCATTTTGGGAGGTTACAGTCTCTCAGCAGGCCCTCTCCTGCTGCTCCCAACTTCCAAGCCTGCACTGGTTGGGAGAACAGGATGGTCCAAGGAGCCCCCTCTCCACTTCCCGCTGTGTTCTCTGCGGGGAGGGAAGAGCAGTTTAAGGAATAACGTATCGCAAAGGCGCACAGCAGACCGGGGGCCGAGGGGTGGGCCCTGCTTCCCCTCCTCCTCTCTCTAGGCCGGGCCACAGCAGGTCCTTGAGTCCTGTTTCCCAGCGGATGCCAGGACAGCAGGCCCCGGGAAGGTTGTTCTCTCTCGGGCCTTTCGGACGGACAAGCGGTCTAGCCGCCAAGGGGAACTCAGATTCCCGGAGTGCGCGGGGCATGAACGCTCCCAGCAGAGAAGAGGCACAAGGTGCCAACCAACTAGGGCCCGGCGGCCAAGGGAGACGCGGCTCGCCGAGGGCAGAACCTAGGCCCTCGTTCTCCCTTTCAGGGCGGGCACCGTGGACAGGCGAGGCCAGGCTGCCGGCTCCCAAGCATGGCGGAGGCCAGACCCTTCCGGCTGCCGCCCACCCAGCCACGCTGACCTGGAAGCCGGAGCAGCGTTCAGCGGCCACCACCCTGCCCGGGAGGCCGGGGGACCGGGGACCTGGAAGGGCCTGGCCCTGGCTTCCCTGCAGCGCCCCCGGGGGCCGCCTCAGGCCCTCCCGGAGCCCGGACCAATGCGCCAGAGCTGAGGGCCCGGGGCTGCGCGGGTGGCCCGGCAGCGTCCCCAAGGGCGACGCCCCACAAGTTGGCGGCCAGCGCCCAGCCAACCCCCAGGGGTGGGAAAGCGTCGGCCCAGCCAGCGGATCCAGCAAGGCCGCCCCCTTCACCGGGGCCCAGAGGTCAACACCCCGCGTCCTCATCTCGGGCTGGGACCGCCTTTGCGTCTGCCCTGAGCGGGACCGGGGAATCCTGGGGAGCCCCGCCTCGGCGCCCCGAAGCCCCGGAAGAGCTACTGTCATCGCTTCCGGTCATGACCGGAAGTGTCTGGAACGGCCATCGCCCGCCCTACGAGATGACGCACTTCCTGCCTGAAGCGGCCGCTGTTCTCGCGGTTTCCAGCAGGTGGCGCTGAGACCAAGGGAAGCCGGCCCGGCTGTCGGTTAGCCCTCGAGCATTCTGGGAATTGCAGACCTGGCCCCTCCTCTTCCTGTTCTCCTTGGTCAATTCCGGTCTTGTTTCTCCAACAAATGCCGCGGTTCCGGGGCTGTTTCCGAGCCGGACGCCAGGGCCGCTGGGTCAAGGAGTGGAGAGGCGGACGCATGCGCACAGGACTACACGTCCCGACAGGCGTCGGGAGCGGTGGCCCAGTGCCTTGTGGGAGGTGTAGTTTTGCGGACTTGGAAGCCGCGGCGCTCGGCCGGATGAATACTCGGTTTCCCAGAGGGCTGAGCGCGCCGCATGGGCGGGCGGCGCCGACCAAGATGGATACGGCCGTGCCGCCTTCGAACTGGTAGGTTTGTGTTGAGGAGGGACGGGCCGCGTGGGCCGGGTGAGCCTCCGGGAGGTCACCAAACGCAGCTGAGGCCCCGCTGTGCTCACCGACCCCCGTACCTCGCGGCCGAGCCCTTGGGACCCACAGCATCCTCGTGAGTGTCCAGCCCGACTTCGCACCGAGAGCCGACTTGGCACAGAGAGTTTGTTGGTTCCCTGGCGGGGAGGTCTTGCTGGCACATAGAGAGGAGAAAGGCCAGGCCCTGAGTTCATGGGGAGAAAGAGACGGTTTCCTTCAGCCTCCGGGCATGAAGGACTCTGCTCTGCCTTCCACGCATTGCCGGATTTCGCCAAGAACTCCGAGAAACGGACTCCCAGAGTCCCCATCTTGCCGCCCGATCCCCGGCTCCCCCTCGGAGTGCCCCGCTGTCCAGGCTGCTTCTGGCCGCGGCGGCGTCCCGCTGCAGAGGACAGGAGTGCGAATCTGGGAAGCAGGGGTATGGTTGGAGCTCCAGCTTCATTTGCAACATGCCATGTGACTTGGGCAAATTATTTCCCCACCCCGTCCCTGCCAGCTCTAAAACGGACATCAGTGGGGGGTTCAGGGTAGCCCCTTTGACTTATGGGGTGGCTTCTTCACTGAGGAGAGTCACGCCTCAGAGGAATTGAAGTGCTGCCTCTGTTTGACCTGGTGGAGGGCACTAAGAGCCCCTTCTGGTACCCCTGACCCCATCCTTGTTCGGTGCACGAGACACAGGTCACCCTGGCAGACAAGGAGTGTTGGTAGCAGGAGGAGAGTCAGTGGATGGATGGCTGAGGGTAGTGCAGAAGGGTGAGGCTGGGCTGTCCTCTCGGCCTGGAAACCAGCTCCGAGGCACCCAGTCACTTCACTGCTAAATGGGTGCAGGAGGCAGCACTTATCTGCCCAGCTGGAAAGGCAGTGTATGTGTTGAGTGTTACACGAGGAGGGCCACTAGAGGTCGCTCCAGGAGCTGCGGGGATTTGCCTCTGCCTACGAGGGCTGCTCAAGGTGATGGTTGACACCCCACTTTCCTGAGATGCCAGGGCCTTGGCTGCAGATGTCTTGGGAACTCCCGGGGCTCTCCCAGCAAATAGGAGCAAACCTTTTCCCCGATGACCAGGAAGGTGCCTGCTCTTTGTGGAGTACCGACTGTTCACCCCACACAGCAAGCAGCTTATAAGTAGCTCTCCTGCCTGATCTCGGCCCTGGGTTCAAGCCCTGGGCGGCTGCTTACTACCAAAATCGCTTAGTAGTTCCAAGCCTGCCTGCAGAGGGTTGGCACAATTAAGTCCCTACCCTGGGTTCTGGCCTATCAGGGGCTCCAAAACCCAGGCTCAGGTCGGTCCTACCTGGCACCTCTTTCGCACATTTTCGCTCCGGTCTGAGGATGGTCCTCTCCCCCACCCCTCCCACCTGCAGTTGAGCAGCTGAACAGAGCCATGCCAGGGGCACTCCGAGGCCTGAGACCACCATACCTGTGCCACTGAGGACCTTCATCAAGGATCCGCCCACCTGGCAGTCCAGTCACACTCCAGTGTCAACCACTGGTACCCAGCAGCCAAGGGAGGTGAGAGGAGGGCTGGGAGGGGGAGACGGGACTCCACCCTGTGTGGGACAGGTCTGTCAGCTGACCCTCCTTGTGCAGGGGCGGTCGATCTGCAGGAGACTCATTCTTAATACTGTTCCTCAGAAACAAACTTCCTGGGGTGTTTTGGTCTAGGTGTGACGTGGTCTTGGGAACGCATGGCTGAGGCAGGGACAGAGGAACCGACCCCCAGCGTGGAGGGGGAGCATGAGACGGAGTATGACACACTGCCTTCTGACACAGTCTCCCTCAGTGACTCGGACTCTGACCTCAGCTTGCCTGGCGGTGCTGAAGTAGAAGCGCTGTCCCCGATGGGGCTGCCTGGGGAGGAGGATTCAGGTCCCGATGAGCCGCCCTCACCCCCCTCGGGCCTCCTCCTCCCATCCGCGGTGCAGCCGTTCCATCTGAGAGGCATGAGCTCCACCTTCTCCCAGCGAAGCCATGACATCTTTGACTTCCTGGAGGGGGCAGCCAGGCGGGCTCTACCCTCTGTGGCCCACACCAGTATGAGTGACAGTGGAGGCTTCAAGCGGCCCCTGGTGCCCTCAGGCCGGCCTCCAGTGGAAGGCCTGGGCAGGGCCCATTGGAGCCCAGCCTCCCCGAAGGTGCCTCCAGTCCCCGACTACGTGGCACACCCTGAACGCTGGACCAAGTACAGCCTGGAAGATGTGACCGAGGTCAGCGAGCAGAGCAATCAGGCCGCCGCCCTGGCCTTCCTGGGCTCCCAGAGCGTGGCTGCCCCTACTGACTGCATGCCCTCCTTCAACCAGGACCCCTCCAGCTGTGGGGAAGGGAGGGTCGTCTTCACCAAACCAGCCCGAGGGGTTGAGGCCAGACACGAGAGAAAGAGGGTCCTGGGTCAAGTAGGAGAGCCAGGGAGGGGTGGCCTTGGTAACCCTGCCCCAGACAGGGGTGAGGGCCCAGTGGAGCTGGCCCATCTGGCCAGGCCCGGGAGCCCAGAGGCCGAGGAGTGGGGCAGCCCCCACGGGGGCCTGCAGGAGGTGGAGGCACCGTCAGGGCCTGTCCACGGTGGGCCTGTGCCAGGCCTCCCACCGGTGGAGACGGTTGGCTTCCACAGCAGCAGGAAGCGGAGTCGAGACCACTTCCGGAACAAGGGCAGCAGCTCCGAGGGCCCAGGCGCTGAGGTCTCAGAGGGAGACGGTGCTGCCTGACCACACTGGCCACTGCCATCCTGCTGCCTTCCCAGGAGGGCTGGCCAAGGGGCAGCCCAGCCACTGCCCAGCTAGAGTGGGAGGAAGCCTGCAGGCTGCCTGTAGGTGGCACCGGTGGCCCTGGCTGCGGCCCTGGGCGTCATCCTCCCAACAGAGACCTGGCTGAGCTCCTGGGGTGTGGGGTGTGGGCTGGAAGCACTGGCTGCCTGGTGGGGACAATAAAGGTTTTGGGACTTCCTCAGGTTTCATGTATATCTGGGCCCTGCTCACCCCTGTCAGCAGCAAGGGGTCCCGCTTGGCTTCTTCCAGCCTCTCTGAGTGCAGTGTCCCCACACCTGACCCCCTATGCCGGGCCACTCGAGGTGGCTGGCACCTGCATCCCTCACCAGCAGATCACCCAGGTGGCAGCAAGAAGTGGAAACCCCAGGTCTCTTCCAGGGTTTGTGGCTCAGTGGCAGGTGTCCAGCAAGTGCCCTCAATGGGCCTGGGTGGGTACAGAATCTGCTCTCCCCCAACCAAAGCTCACAGGATAACATCAGCCCCAGGCCTGGTGCAGATTCCAGCATGGGAGGGGAGAGGAAGGTGACAAAATGGGTCTGGACAGAGAGGCTGGGGTGAGTGGGGTGCCGGCGCAGGTAGGTGCTGGACTGCGCCTGGTGTCCAGTTTTAACTGGCCAGGGTGGTGCAGCGTTCTCCAGGTTCCACTGGAAGGAAAGCAGCCACTGATGCCAGCACGGGCTGAGTCCTGGGGCCATAAATACCAGTGTGTCCTGTACCGGCCACAGGGTGTCGGGGACATCTGACAGACGCAGTGGACGCCCAGCCCTGTCCTCCAGGAACCAGTCTCCTGAGTCCCAAAGGACCTTTTGGGTCTTAAGTGGCAGAAATTTAACCACTGGTGTTTCAAAAAAAGATGAGTCTTAGCAGGCAACACAAGTGAGGGCAGGGGTGGGTGCAGGCCCCAGAGCAGCTGCCCGTCTGGAAGGGGCTGCACCCCCATCATGCTGCAGAGCTGGCTTTTCCCTGGTGCAGGCTGGACAGTTTCCAGGTAGGGACACGGCGGGGCGCATGTTTTTTCCCCGGGGAGTTCTGCCTGTCAGGGAGGTGGCCCCATGACACTGCTATGCCTCTGGGGAGGCCAGGAAGGCATCAGGAGGGCCAAGGAGTGGTTGCTGTGCGTGAGGGTCTGTGGTGAGGCATGGGGGTGGGAGTGGGGGCATTGCCTGCTGGGGGGCTGCTGCCCCCTGGGGGTTCCACTGGAGGTGGGCAAAGGTTAGTGCACAAGGCCCAGGGTGGCCAGCTGACAAGAGGTGGCCCCACAGGTGGCAGGCCAAGGAACTCAAGTGTCCGAAGGAGGCTGGCCAGCCCTGGGGTGTTCCCGGTCAGCAGCCACCAGCCGGCTTCCCCCGCCACAGTGCCGAGAGCCTGTTGGGAAGGAAGGCCCCCCTTGAGCAGTGGGAGCCAGCAGGGCAGCCCCAGGAAGGGGAGAGGTGGCTGGCTGGGAGGCAAGGGCCAGGACGCCGGGGCCCTCAGAATGAATCCTGACAGGCCAGCCTGGGAAAGGTGGGAAGCCCAGAGCCAACCAGGCCTCTGCCTGTGCTCTTAGAGCTAGGGAAGCACCCCTGTGGGGCCGAGGGGCCTTGCCTGCTGGGCGGGACAGCCCAGCAGGGCCCATGCCAGGCAGAGCCTCAGGAGTCTGAAGCACATTCTGTCCTGGCCAAGGCAGGGAGCTCCATCAGAGGGCACTGCCCTGAAGTACCACGTCCAGCCAAGGCCATTGGAGACTCCCAGGCCAGGCAGGGAAGGAAGGGCCCACAGCACAGCCCACAGTCCCCCACCTGCTGCCACCAGCCCCTGCAGGGTGGGTGCCATGCCCACCCTCATCCCATGCTCCCCAAACAGGCTTACTCCAGGAGGTGCCACCTTGGGCCAGCGTGTCTGCCACGGAGGACAGGAGCACTGAGCAGTAGTTGATCTGGAGGAGGGAGACGTGTCAGGAAGCTCCAGGCTTCTCAGGACAGCAGGGGACAGGTAGCCTCCCCGCCTCCCCGCCTCCCCCTGCTCCTGCCAGGGCCTCCGTTGTCCCATGACTCCTCCCTCCAGGAGCTGCCGCTCAAAGGCAGGGGTTGGTGAGGCTCCCGAGAATGAAAGGTGAGGGGTCTTAAAGTGAGACCCCTCGTTTAAGGCTGTGGCCTCTCAAGTGTCAGGGTGGGAGCCGGCTCAGGTGGGGACGGACCATCTCCCCCAGGACTCTCCCTGCCCACGGTGGTGCTCATGTCCTGGCTCCGGGCTGTTCATCTCTGTGAATGGCCACGGCTGTGGACGGGTCCCGGTAGCCCCATGCAGCCACCCGCCTCCCCTCAGAGAGGAGCTCCTGGGCTTGCTTGCCTGTGACTCCAGACACTTGATGCGCTTTTCTTGCTCTCTCAGCCCCCCGAGGTACTTGGCAATGAAGTCCACTCTGCAGCAGGAGCAGGCGGGCAGGCTGTGATGGCTTTGTAGCGCTCCACTCGGTGGGGGAGGCTCCCCATCCCCCAGGCCTCCCTGTGTGCCCGGGTCCGGGGCGCCCTGGCCCTTTCCCTTCCCCCTTCATGCCCTGGTCTGGTGGGACCAGGACCCTTCAAAGTGTTCCCAGCGCAGGTACAGAGTGCCCTGTGCCTTCCCGGTAGGGCTGGGGTGCCATCTCTGCCTGGGCACACCACCCAGCTAAACGGGGCAGGGCAGACGGCCAGGAACAGACCCCTGGAGGCACGACTGGAGGGAAGCCAGGGGTGGGCAGTTCCACTCCTGAGACCACAGCAGGGCGGCCGCCACGCTCACTGTGCACTCTCCCTTTCAGCCTGGCCAGTTCCTAGCAGGGCCCTGCACGGGTCAGGCTGGGGAGCTAGGCCAGGGCCCTGCCCCTCCCACTTCAGCCTCAGTTCCCCAGCTCAGATCCTCTGTCACTGGCACCAATGGCACGCCCCCGATTAAAGGCCGACACCCACCAGTGATCAGGACAGGACCCGCACCTGTGGGCAGTTTTCCGCAGCACCTCCCCCTCGCTGTCCCTCCTCCGCTTCTCCATTTTGCTCAGAAAGTTCTCCTTCTGGACCGTCTCCCAGGTGACCACCTTCTGATCCATGGGGTCTGGCAGCTCTCTCTCTGGGAAAGCCGGGGCAGCAGCCGGCATTACCAGAGAACGTGGGCCCCGGTGGCAGAGCCCAGGCCTGGTCTCCAGGTGAGGTAGGCCAGGCAGAAGGAGTGAGTGGGACCCAGCCAGGGCATGGAGGGCAAGGACGGCTCTGTGCAGGGACAGCCAAGCTGCTGGGGGAGGGGTTCGGCCGTGCCAGCCTACATAGAGCCCAGCCGAGGGCCCACGGGGCTAAGGAGGCACCCGGGTCTCTCCCGACCTGCCTCTGGGGCACAGCCCGCCCCGGGACCCGCCGCCTCTGCCTCACCTAGGTGCTCCCGCTTGTGCTCGGCCTCCTTCTTGAAGACCCTGCGCAGCGCCAGGCTCAAGTGGCTGAGCAGGATGAAGGGTGGAGCCAGGGCAGGGCGCTCGTGGTACTCCACGATCAGGTTGTAGCGTTGGAACTTCCAGAACATGTCCGCGTTGCCCTGCACCACCTGGAATGTGTAGCTGTAGGGACATGGCCAGACCCTCACCTGCCGGCTCCTCATGCCCACCCGGGGGCGTGTCCTCCCCACACCCGGAAGCCCTTTTTGAAACCGAGGCCCAGCACTGCCTCTGCGTTGCCTCTGGGGTGTGTCTGAAGGGCTCCGCTCTTCTGGGGTCTTCCCTGCCCACTCTGCTCTCCCGGACAAGCCCAGAGCTCTCGCCAGGGCACCGGTCCCCCAAAGACCCAGGCCCTGCTTCCTGGGACCGGGAGGGCAGCCCACAGAGTTCACGGCCTTGGGCAGGCAAAGCCCTGCAGTCCAGGCTGTGCCGCCTCCTATCTGCCCTGGGGTACCAAGCCTCAGACTCTGTGGAGCACCAGGAGGGCTGCAAAGAAGCGGGTGTTGGGGAATGACCCTCTGCTCCCTCCACTTCAGGGCCCTGTCTTCCAGGGGCTGGGGTGGAGTCACCTGAACATGGCAATGAGCAGGTTCATGAGCAGCACATTGGTGACCAGCAGGAAGGTGACCAGCAGGAGGATGACCAGCCAGTTGGCATAGAGGCTGGGGCAGGAGGGCGAGTCTTCTAGCAGCAGGGGGTGGGTGGAGCAGTTCACACGGGCTTCTGGAAGGCAAGGGTGCCGTGGAGACCAGGCCAGCGGCAGCCACGAGGACAGCCTCGGGCAAACGCCGAGATAGAGCTTGGTCCTGGGGAGGAAGCCCAGGGTACGGGGTGCCAGGTAGGTGACCCACTGTCCCAGTTCACACAAGATGGGCTTTCGCACCGTCCCAGCAAACCAGAAGCAGACGGTGGCAAGCCCCGCCCTGGGCCACCTGTGCCGTGTCTGCTGGGCTTCCATCGGGGGCTGGAGTCAGCCAGGGCCACAGGCCCCGGAGGCAGAGCCAAGAGCCCTGGAGGGATGGAAGGTGGGGGCAGAGGGGTCCCGGGACACAGGTTTCTGCTGGTGGTTGCATGTGTTAAGACCTCCGTCCCTCACCCCCAAAAAGCCTCTGCTGTTGAAAGTTTGGGGAGAGCTTCGGAGGAAGGGAGATGGCATCCTCACTGCAGGACTCCTCAGAGCCTTCACGGCACTGACATCTGTCATTCTCCCCCAGGCTGGGGACGGATTCCACCACCTTTCCAAAATGGGTTGAGCCCTAAGCACCTAGGTCCCACACTGGGCCACTCAAGTCTGAAGAACATTCTTCAGGCGGTAAGTCTGGGAGCTTGCAGGCTGAGCTCCCTTGCCCTGGGCAGGGACACCCTGGAGGGGGCAGATCTCGCTCCAGTCCCTTCAAGCCAGACCCTCACCCCTACTTCTCCCCTACAGGGCTCAGCCCTAGACCCCCACCCCACCCCAGCCTGCAGGGCAGGAGGAAGGAGCGGGGAGCAGCTGTGGGCGTTGGGGTGCTCAGGGTCCCAGCCAGAGGCCAGAGCAGGCCCCAGGCCGTCCAGGGCCACATTTCCCCTCCATATTCTACAGGGAGCTCCGCTCTGCCCTCCCTCCCAGCCTGCACACTGGCGTGTGTCTGCATGAGCCTCTGCCTGTGTTTGGATGTGCCTGGCACACATGCTCATGTGTGAGTCTGCCTGTGAGCACACTAGCCACACACGTGCACATTCAAGTGTGTCTTGGTGCCTGC